CGGTTTATTATTTTTGGCTTTGTGCATGGCATTACCACCGTTTTACATATTCGGCGTGTGGGTGTTGCGCTGCTCGTGCTCTTAACGGGTTTCTCTGGCTTTAACGGTTACGGCCGCTCTTTTACGACACTTTTTATTGCTATTATTAATGCCCGAATCTTCCATTTTTGGGCGGTGCGATCTTTTGTGTGTGCTTTGGACCCTGGTGTTACCTTCAACTCCAGTTGAATGTGAAGTAATAATCGACAGCAAGCTGAATGCTATCATCGGCTTGTATCTTCGAGTGGCAAACATCCCTTGGATACAGATTTCTAATCGCTTTTTTTACACATTAAACTTTATTCGATTGGGAAAAAGAAAATCAGTTTCAGAATCGAAACCAGTTTGTCATAGCAGTTGTATCTGAAGGTTGGGTCGTTAAGCGGCATCTCGAAAATGATATTTTAATGCGTAAGAAAAATAAATGATACATGTGCATATTTACCTTTTTTATCTAGTATACAAATTTACAATATGAAATATATTTAAATTTTCATATCATACTGTCGCAGGTTTTCGAAAGCACAGCAGCATTTGCTCTTAACGAGCTTCATCCCATTTCAAGTAATATTTCAATCAAATTCGCGTCGCCGCTCCAAATTACAACATAATTTTCAGATCTTTTTGCCTTTTACAATTTCCGCATTACAAATTAATTTCTACGACCCTCCGACCCCGACCCCGACCAGCCACGCCCCCGCCCCCCGCCGCCCGGCCACCGAAAAAATGCCACCCAATAAACGCTGGAATATTAAAAAATTGAAATCTGTTTAATGTGTTTACTCGACCAGCGCAGGGGAAAATTTCATTAAAAGGGAAAGCGCCGGCCGAAGGATGCGAAATAGGATGTCGGAGTGGGCGTGGCGTGGCGTGGTGGGGGCTTGGGCGGATGGGAAATTGTGGCGACTCATGGCGCAATCGTCAATTATGGCCAACAAGGAAAGCGGAAAAAATATTGTGTTCGATAATCAAACCGAAAATGTGCACAGCTTGAGTCAAAATAACGAAATATCCCCCTTTCGCATCGAAACGAGCGGAAAAAATAACAGGGCAACAAAAGGCGCAGAAAGCGTAGGAAAAATCGGCGAGGGGCAGGACTTTTGAGCAGCAGGATATGCGTACATTCGGCTTCCTCTTTTCCAACACACCCGATTTATGCCCAGTACTTAAAGTACACGGGTATATGCTGTTCTCCGTCAACATAACACTTTTGGGCATAACTTGAATTGTTGGCAGCAGATCAGCATAAACTCATTTAGTGATTAAGAAAATAATTAGAATTGGGAAATTATTATTAAAAAGTAGGTATTTTTGGCCAAGGAATATCAACCTTTAATGGAACAGAGAAGAGCTTAAAACATTTCAATTTTGACTGTAATGGTATGGGAAATAAGTGGTATCTTGTAGTCGGATCCCCGGGCTTAATAGTTTTTTCGGCTCTTTTCCCACTTTTTTGTACACGTTTTTTTTGGCAATTTGCCACCCGCCGCACGCGTCGACGTCGCCATTGACTCAATCGTTGGCAGACCCATAATTAAATTACACATATTTTAGTTTGGTGCGTGTGTGCATGTGTGTGTGCAGGACTGCTGACTTGCTTTTCCATTGTGCGTCCTGTTTGCCTCAGGACCTCCCCCTGTCCTCTCCATTTGGGCATGACTTAGACATCCGGAGAAACCGAAAAGTTGGCCCTGAGTGTGAAATTAAATATTTTCCTGTGCAATGTTTGCTGCAGAAAAGTGTGTAATCACCGAAATGTGGCCTAAGTTATTTATGTAATTGCCAGTTTTTGTTAAAAGAAGTATTCTATAACTTATAATTCCCACAGATCTAGGCTTGGCGTTTTACAAACTTTTTTTATTCATTGCCGCCACTGGAATTCAAATTTCTCGAACTTATAAAAACACCATTCAAAGTTTAAAAAGACGTTGCTCTCGTCCATCCTTGGCAGCTTGGAATTTATGCACAAATTGAAACTTTATTCATTTGGCCTCAAACACCAAATTTGAATGGGAAAGTATGTACATTTGGGAGATGTAATAATTTAAAGGATTTCCAGGCCTAGACCTCTGATTATACCTCATGACTTATTTACAAGCATAAACATATTGTCTTAGGAACGTAGGTCTTAAGCAATAATCATCATTCATTTATCGACTACCTAATGAGTGCCATTTCTCAAGTGGTCCTGCAGTAATCTCTCCAGATGATCGCCCCAATGGGTTAGGAACAGCTGCGGGCTGCGAAATGAGATGAAATCGAATCGCTGACGACTCACTCGGCCGCAGCTGGAATTGGAATTGGAATTGGAAGTAGTAGAATTGTGACCTTGAATATGCGCCACAAGCACATGGGCAGGAGGGCAGGAGCGGCATGAGTGGCAGGACTCGGATTACGAATGCGCTGCGCGTGACTTCCAGTTAAGTCCTAATTATGTCAGTAACTCATACGAGATTGCAAGGGATTCCTGGGCGGCGGACGAAGTGGGGGAAGGACGAAACTGCTGCGTGCCTGACACGTTCGCCGCACGGCGGTGACGCAATTTCCAAAAGATTTGCAACCGAAACACACAAAGGTGGCCCGATGTCCTTCGGTGCAGGATACGCTGTGTATGTGTGCGCTATGTGCTGTATGCTATATGCTATATGCCGTATGCCGTATGCGGTGTGCCATCAGGGGTTGGTGCGCCACCCATTCGAAGCCATCTGAAAATATCTGAAAACAACTGCGGCAGCCGGCTCTCGTCACTCACTCGATGCCCAAAACAGATTTTACACGGAAAAAAACAGTATTATGTGTGGTTTGCATTTCCTTATGGTGGTATTGTAGATCACTTTATATAGATACATATATAAATCTAAATTAATTTTCAAAAGATACAAAAGGAAGATACTTTAAAATGCGTTAGCATCACACTCTTTTGACCAAAGTAATCAGTTTGTTGGCAAAAATATAGATGAACCATTTGAAATGTGGACAAAATATGTAAGCTTGATTATTATCGCCGATTTCTCCGAGTGCAGCTATTATAATGATGCGATCCAAGCGGGCGGCGGTGGGCGAACAACCCCCGTGTGAGCCAGGACCTTCACTCATTCATTCATTCATTGTGGCATTCAGTCAGTGAGTCAGTGGGAACCCGGCCAGCCCACTCACCCAGTTATGAGTGTCCTGTGCCTCTCGGCCTCTCGTCCTTTCGTCCTTTCGTCGTTTCGTCCTGCTTGGCAACAAGCGAAAAATTCCACTTGGTGCCATAGGCAAAGCGTAGTGGAGTGAACTGAAATCAAATTGGTGGTGCGTCCGATGCTCTGATCCCGAGATGCATCCCCCAAAACCGTCAGTGTTTCAACCCCCGATTTGATGATTCACAGCGGTTGCAAATGCCGTGGAAAATTCCATGCGTCCTTAAATAAATACGCATGTATGTAACACGCAACCTTCAGATGCGGAAATAGCACAAACCTACGCAGCATTTTGATAAAATTCATTTCATGCTTATAATAAAAATGCACTCTATTGATCTTGATTTTGTCGAAGGCCGACACTAAAGTGCAACATATTTCAATAAAATCAAACAAAATCGTTTGATTATAGTTGTCTGAAATGTGTGGACTTTCTCATATATAGAATATATGTTCCAGTGAATGTACTTTGATAATTAATACTTTACTTATGAAACCAAGGCTAAGCGGATTATAAGAACGAACGAAATGTTTTAAATTCGGAGTGGTGGACTCAGTGAGACAGCGACCCACCTGAGAGTGTCCTTCGCATTTCAGACTGATTACGAAACCAAGACGGAGGCGCCGCCTCCACACGAGTACTTTCTGCTACCATAATCATCTTAATAATTTCACAACTCATGTCTTTATTACATTTCCAGCCATCTTCCTGCCATCCGGCACCGCCACCGCCACCGCAATATAATTTCCCAGCTCTCAGAAGAATTTTTTAATTTCAACAGAGCAAAGTATCTTATGACGAGCAACCAGAGGCTCCGGCACAAAAATACAAAAAAAAAGGAAACAAAATGGGAAAAGGGGAAAGAGAAATTGTATCTTCATGCGTGTGCCCCGCGACGCATTTTCATTCCCTAAGTAGACGCATTTTATCAAATATTTTTCAACTCGCGTCTTCGCGCCGCGAGTAATTTAACCCCTCAGTGCTTTTGGTGTCGTGGAAAATATGACTGGAATAAAGCAGGAATTTCCCAGCAGGTGACCCACCATCCATCGGCGGTGAAAGGGCAGCTTAGCTAATTTCCAAAAGGACTCTCAATCAGGCGTAAGGATGAAAATCAGTGCACGGGGCGGCACAATGTAATATGCCCTAATCCTTCCGAGGCAACAAATCAAGTCCCGTGTAATCCACTGGGGGTATGCCTTGATTGAAGTCCTTTCTTAGAGCCCTATGTACCTACAAAGGATCTAAGCCCTCTTGGTTTCGGCTCATTCGGTTCTCAATGAGGCAGCGGGAACTTTGATTGAGAACGCATAATGCCAATTTTTCCCTCAGATGTACGAAAGGAGAAAGGAAAAGCCCCATGAGAAGAGTTTTCCAACTTTATTAAACAATGCCGACGTTGTGTTAAAAATATTATACAAACTATTTCATTTTTTATTGCCAGCCACATTTGTCTTTTATGTATTTCAGCGCTTTTGTCAATATATCAGCCATCCATTCCCAAAAATTCTTGTCGTTGCGCTGGCTAAATTTAAGATATGTGACTGTTTTGCTTCCCGATATAAAATTATTTCCAGCATATTTTCTCTGTCACATTTATGTGTTTCCTCTTAGTATTATAGACCCAAACGAACCGATGTTCCCCCAAAACGATTTCAGTTTTCAGATTTATATATAGAACGGCCTTCCAGCAAAACTGAGAACAGGTTCCGTGCTGCACCCGCACACATGTTTACAGGCCAAACTAATTTTAGGTTCCATCCCATGCGACGGAAACATTTGAAGGTCTCCATCCTTCATCTTCAACCAGTGCAGCTGCATGAAATCTTTAATTGGATGGCGTTGGCCCCGAATTAGAGGCCATTCTCATTCTCACAGGGGCAGTTGGATGGAAAAGGGTTGGATGCGATCCAGTCCCGATTCCCACGCACCCAAAAGTCCACAGTCGGTGTATGAGCACTATAAAATTATTGAAATGGCTCTGCATTCAATTGTTCACAATCCTCCTTTGTTAACATTTTCGAGTAGAGAAGTGTAGTTTAAAGGTCCGCATTTGGTGCTCAAATCTATTCACTAATTTTGGCTAGATTTCAACTCAAATTATGTGGCAAGTATAATGAAAAGTATATGTTCTCAGCAAACAGATTCTGTTCAATTTCAGAAAAATCGAATACTTCCTTTGACGACAACGCATCAGTCTTAGTTAAGCATTTTCAGTTGAATACACAAACACTCATTCGAGCATTTGGCTTTACCCAGTTTTGGAATATTTACTAAATTGCTGTATCTGTAAAAGCATGCAATATCGAGTGAATCATTGTCACATTGGAACTTGACCATACTGACCTTTGTCAAATCAATAACTAACTTAAGAAAAGGGTATTCCCAGATTCGCTCACCGCATCCAGCAGTTTCGTATCTGCTAGAAACCTTATATACGTTGAGATAGATTGCTGATCGGTGATAACCCGTCTGGCGAATGACAACAGCCGGCAGTTTTAGTTGATCCGCCGGTGAGCGAGCGAGTGTCCAAATCGATGCATGCGATACAAGTGCCCGCCGGAGGTGCGCTGCCTGCTGCTGCCTCCTACATTCCCTGCGTGACCTTTGCCCCCGGCCAGAATGAGTGCGCAGTGGCGGAGCAGCGGATAGGAACGCTTGTGGCGGAGCGGACAGCCCAGCGGCGCTTCTTCTACGGCATCGAGGTGATGGCCAGCGGAGCGGGTGGCCGCCCAACCTGCCTGGACTTCAATCACTTCCTGCCGCTCCTGCCCACCTTCGTGAGCGTCGTCTGGCTGAGCCAGCGCTACTGGGACGTGGAGCCAGTGGGCCAGGTGGAGAGCCTCCGGCTGGCCCAACACCTGGCCACCCGCATTCCCGTGCTGCCCCACGTGTCCGCCTATCGAATGAGAAGGCAGCGGCTGGATCAGCTTCTGGCCCTCAACTTCAGCAGTCTGTTGGCAGTGCGAGGGGATCACGTGCACGAGGAGCAGGATTTCCTGGTTGGCCACCCCATGGTCGAGCATTTGAGACGCCGGCGAGGTGGTAAGCTAATTACCATCTATTTGCAACGAAAACATGTTACTTTGCCACACAATAGTCCCTAAATATACTCTTTAACTCCTCAGATAAAATATCTGTCTGTGTGCCTGGATACCCAGAGGGTTACACTAGTTTGGGCGACGTACCCCAAAACTCAACCAAGAACATGGCGTTTCTGAAGGCAAAGGTGTGTTCCTATTTGTAATAATGTGCAAAACTTATATTACAGCTATTGTATCTTCATATTCTAATAGGTTGATGCGGGAGCGGACTGCATCATCACACAATTATGCTACCGTCCCGAGGTCATAGTGCAGTTTGTGAAGGACTGTCGAGCAGCTGGCATCTCGGTGCCCATTGTTGTGGGTCTGATGTCGCACGAATCCTTTCGCTCCTACTCGATGATCGAGCAAATAGCCGGTGTCCATCTGCCAGATGATTTGCGGGAGGAACTCGATCAGCTGCACAGTGCCCATATGAGGGATATGAAGTCTGACCAGGATCTGATAAGAAGGTTCTTTGTTAGCCTCACCGTGCGAACCGTTCGTCATGTCTTGGAGGCCGATGTGGGGGTCTGGGCCTTCCACTTTTTCACACTCAACCGCTTCAAGTCCGTCCAGGCCGTGCTTCAGGAACTGCGAGATCTGGATGTGATCAAGGACTCTGAAAGGGATAAGAAGGGCTACGAAGAGTAAAACTAATATAAATAAATTTGCAAAATATTGCGGGCTCTAATACCTTAGCACATCGTTCAGAGTTCTCGGTTTCTACATATAAATCAGCAGAGGGTGGCATTCTACTCCTTTTACCAGCTTCCAGCTCCAAAAGTGCGTGCCACCCCTTTTGCTTGACCAAGGACAAGCTGCAGTGGCAAAATAGCCAATGATGTGACTGACATACCTAATGACCAGTGTTCGGGGTCTGCAGCTGGCCAAAAACGGCGTGTGATGAATGGATTGGGAAACCCTTTACTACCGTCCTCCCCTTCACCTTTCATATGCGAAATTTTGCAGCTCCGGTGCGTCATCAACGTCAGTCAATTTGACAGGCGCTTCAAATCGCAGACCAAGAAATGCGTAGATATTTCTTGATGGTGCTCATCCTGTATAATAGAACTGTTGCGTCATCGCACCTTCCATCGGGACTTGCCATTTGGCATCTGGGGGTTGACGCCCCTCCTCCCAGCACAAAGACGCACTGAAAGGTCCTTTTTGACAAAAGCAACATTTGACGTTTGTAACTTGCGGTTGATCGGCCATGGATAAGGATAAATGCTAGCGGCCACACCTAGAAAAAATTCCAATGGAAAAATGAAACAGATCAGGTTCACAACTAATTAAAATTTGAAAACAAGAGAAATACAGTAAAATACATAAATAATAAGTTCTTAGTCTTCTTCAAACTAAATAAATTAATAAATTTGCATTCTACAATCAATAAGATTTGAAGAGATTGACAATATTTGGCACGCTCGTCTTTGAACAGCAATCAAATATTTTAACAGTGATTCGACTTCGAGCCACCTGGTTTTCTCAGTGCACTTCCAAGGGGTTGACTTTCACCGGGGGCCCCAGATGACACACAGATGGAATCGGGGCTAAAAGGTTGTGCCACCGCTTCCAATCCGCCGCCTGCTTGCTATTTTCGCTTATTTTCGCAGCTGTCGACTGGGCCTGAAAAATGATTTGCGAATGCGAATTTCCCTCCTTTCCTTCCTTTTCTTCCGGCTTTTGGATTGAGTTTCTCGACGCCGGGGGGCTGGGGTGGAGTGCCACTCCGCTTTGCAATTATTTATCGGCAATTAAGCCAAACAAATGACGCCGTTAGAATGGACAATGCGCACATTGCGCATACGCCATGTCTGTCAGTCAACATAACTCTTGGGATTTTCGCTTCGTTTTGCCGGCTTTCTGTGCGATTTGAACTTTAAATTTGGCGAGTGCTTTAAAGAAAGTCTTACGATTGAGCAGCAGTATGTACATTGAATGCTGGCTTGTAGTACTTTAAATGCCATATTTCATTTGGATGCTAGCACATATTTTGTGGCACTTGCTTAAAATATACAAATATATTTGCTAAATTATTATTTTATTTTTCTTATTTTTTTAATGACCAGTGCTGGTCATTTTGCTTGCCACTGCGCCACTGTTTGCGGCAAGCAAAAGTGTATCTGGGGAATACGCTCGGATCGATCGGAGAAATGCAATTTGTGGGGCTCATTTGTTTGCCTTTTCTTGGCCCCCTTTTGTTTGGCTGTTTCTTGATTTGCCATGCGTCGTTTAATTTTATTTCAAAACAAATAAGCGTAAAATGGGGGAAATCTGCGATAAATGAAACCAAACAGCAAGCCTACAAATCGGTTTGTGCTTGCAGCCAAAGCAAAGCAAGAGATCAGCAATCAGAGTGAAAAAGATTGCCATTTTTAGAAGTAAGGGGTTTCGACTAAGAGATATCCTAATATTTCTCTTCTTTACCTACTTTATTTCTTGATTACAGAAAAATTTAATTTTATCTAATTGCTTTATTTCCTAATTTAAAGAATTTTTGTTTATATATATTTGTGGTAACCTCCTTTACTGCTTAATTATAAAAATTGTTGTCTAAATATATTTTTCAATTTGTGAAATAGCCGATTATCTCATATACTACAATTTCCCTAATGTGGTCGGTTAAATATACTTTGTCCAAAGTAGAGAAGACAAGTTAAAAAAAATTTAAAACAAAACAAAAAACCGGACGTTCACGTTTTCTGCCGCAGTCGCAGCAGGCAGAGGTAGCGGCAGAGGAAGAAACAGCTATCAGCTGGCCGATCTCAGTTCATTTTCAAATTTTCACAGCTGATATTGTTCTCTCGCTCCCATCTGTTACATATTTTGTACCACCTTAAGAGCGCTCTAACTGCTCTAAGAGAATCTCGAATAAAATAAGAACAGCAAACAATTTAAAGCTTTGTACAATATTCAAATTATTATTTAATATTTATTATTATTTTTGAAATAATGATCTTAAATATTTTCTTGATCAATAATTTAATACTTTATTAAAAAAGAGGTAGCACATAGTTCTTGAGCTCTGAGAACTAAGAGTTCAGGTTTCTCTTGAGTGATCGCGGCTTAAGAGTGTCGGTAAACCAAGTGTAAGAGAGCCACACTTTTCACTCAATTGCTCTTAAATTGTGGCGTGAAGATCACTCAAGAGAAATGCAAAGAGAGTGGAGTGGAATAAAACGTAAAAGACTGGCGCATATAATAACACGTACTTTAGATTATGTCTACATGAGATATTTCCATTCTACACTTTCAAAGAATTTCAGCCCTAATATTAACACATATTGGTGAACAACATTATTTAAACAAAATAATTACAGTTAGTTTCTGTTAAAAGTAGTTAAGACTTCTACATACATATATCATAACCCTCTTCAATCATTTCACATAATTAAAAAAATTAAACAAGATTATTTGCCAGACTAAAGAACTTAATGGGTTTTGAGAAATGATCATTGCTTATTGATCACTTATAAATATGTATTTGTATTTCGTCTTGAACGTTTTGCTGCACCGGCAACATTGCTAATTTGCGACCTGCCCCACCGCAATTTGCATACTCCGTGTGCGTGCTCATGTGCGCACTAAATTCACATTCGTAGATACAGATACAGATACATTTGCAGATACACGAACGGAACGCATGCAGAGGCGAAAAGCTCAGGCAAAATTTATGGCAAATTGTAAAAATTTTTAATTAAATTGCAGCAAGACCAACATAAGGAAAATGCCAGATACACGAACTCAGAGTAATGAGGCTCTGGGAAATCGGGTTTATCTGCAAATTCAACGTTGCTATGCGGAAAATTTATGTGTACTTAATTTGGAGGCTTATTACCTCGATATTTTATCATTTTTCCATTTAGTGTTATTATAAGAATATGTATGCCCCATAAATAATAACTAGCCTATTTTGTATGAGACTGCTGACTTCTACCTATAATGTTTTAATGTGTTAATGTAAAATAAAAGTTAACTGTTGGAATGTCAGCAGAAAATAAGAAAACACATGTAAAACCCTAAATAGATAGATACACAATATTTATATCAATGTACATATGTACCTACATATGTATGTACCGGCACTTGACCGGCACAAAAGTGTGGAGATTCTGGGGGCAATATTTACCTTCTGGGGAACGAGACACGCACACATGTTCCGTTTGGCGGTATAATTTATGGCCAGACTCAAGAGCGATCAAAAATAAAATGATTATTTTCAGAAGGAAGCAACAGAAATAATAAAATCGAAGCGCTACGCAAATTATAAACAAACGTCAACGAAGAGTCAGCTACGAAAACATCAACAAGCTACGTAAGCAGCCCCATGAGATCCCATAATATCAATTAGGATATACCGTGGAATAACAAGGTGAAGGCCGTTGCTTTCAAATTCTTAAGGCATATTTTAATTACCTGCTGATTATATAAATGACAGTGTAAAAAAATGAAATATTTCGGTTTTACCTTCACAATGCCAAGAAGGCAAAAGAGGTCTTGAACTTAATGACTAAATTTTCTCTTTATTTTTCAAGATTTTTCCCCCGTTTCAAAAACAAAATGCCATTCGCCTCAGCCCAATATGCCCCATTACATGGATTTTAGGGCAACCAGAACACGATTGCAGTGTGCCTTTTGATCTTTTTTCTCTGCTGCGTGGCTCTGCTGCATTTCACGGATAGTCAGATAGTCGGATAGTCGGATGCCCAGATACTTGGGTGTACATACTCGCATAAGATATGAAAGGGGGCAGAGTTGTGTGTGGCCTGTCAGCGGCGGAATTGGTAGATGAGATGCGGCAAGTGAAAGACGTCCGCAGAATTGGCAAACACAAACCGCAGGCGGCAGGCCAAATCGGAAGCTGCACTGAAATCCAAATGAGTGAAGAGGAAATCTCGACCCAACTGGCGAATCGTAAATTGAATTTGGCATTCGGATCGTCCATTAGCTTTTCACACAGCCTCTGACGCAATTCGCACCCGTTGCCACCAGTGCCATATAGCTTTCGCTTTGGCTTAAATCTCGAGATGGTTGTGCAGCAAGTACAGCTGCTTTTGCCAAAATAGTTGGTTTTAATCTGTGCATAGACAACGAATAGAAAAGGTAGCATTATTAGAAAGCGTGGATATTCCGCATTGTTCTACTTGAAATGCTTAGCTAATCTCACCTTTTTCCGATGCTATCATTGTACCGGGCTTATATGGGCATGTCCTTGATGATCGACTTAAAAGCCGCTTGGATTCTGAGAAATTGTTAACATTTTTTCTCCATTTGAAGCGAAAACTGCAAGTCAGAAAATACAGCTTACTGCTCAATATCGGCACTGGGAATCGCCCATTATAAAATTGTAATTTCATTTCATTTTGCCGCCTTGCGCGCTTACGTAAGCCCCATTATATTTCCCCTAACAACAACACAATGTGAAAAGGTGCACCCTAGAGATGTAACTAGAATTATAAGTCCATAGTGAGCTAATAAAGTTAAGTTAGTTTTGGAAATGTGTCTGTTCAACACTTTTCCCTGTACATAAATGCTTTAAAGTTCTATAAACAATATTTTGGCAGCGAGAAGTAAGTTAACATACTTTTTAAATTTCTTTTTTGCAGAGCATGAAGTAAATTCAATCAGCATATGCGAAAATCATCAGTTTTAATCAACTGAGTTCCGGGAAATACAGGATTTTTAGGACCCAAACCCTTACAGCCGTACATTTTTTTACCGGCTTTCGAAAGCTGACATAGGTTTTAAATTAAAACCATGCACATCTCTAGGACCAGCAAAGGGGGCTTTTTCGACGGGCGGAGGGGCAAAACGACATTTGTGCCGCCTTTTTGCCTGCAATTACACGGCCAACAGCTAACTGCAAAAGTGCTAGAGAAAAATACAAAAAAGGCAGCAACAAATGCTAAAATAAAATCGCGCCAGACAAACTGACGGCACCGTGTGATTTTATACCCGCTGCGGTTGAACTGCCATGCATGGGCGTAGAAAGGGGGTGCGAAATAGTTATGCTGCCGTCAAAGATAAATTAACAAAAAACACGGCTTTGCTGTAATAATAAATTCTATTTTATTTTTAAAAGTCACAAAAGTGAAGACCCGTTCATTGTGGGCACGCCCATGTGGGCATTAAAAGGCGGTCTGTAATAAAGAAAATTGTACAGCATGTCAATAACGAACATATGCCCTATGAGAAATATTGGCAACATGGAATACCAAATGATGTTGAACTTTAGTTGGAGAGCTACTGACTTTATTGACACTTATCTGTATTGGTGCGTCGTATTTATAGAGAGCTTTAAATGCGATATGGGAAAAGTTACATTTCGTTTATGCCGTCAGTTTTCGTGTAAACGAGCGATAAGCATGATACATACATGTAATGTAAAAAACAAAACACATGGAGAAATTATACAATTATTTTGGCTGAGTAAATGCTCTACATGAGCAGCCCAGGAACAGCAAACTTAGGGTATTTCATCGTCGGCTTGCGAGACGCAATACGAAATCGGTCGAGAGAGCGATCAGATAGAGATCCGTGCAATTGCAGGCCAGATCGTGGCACTTTTCACAACATCGCATGATTGATGATTAGTCATCGACCGGTTTCTCGATTGTCGGTCGCCCAGCAACAGCGACAGCACGCGAGTTGAAGGTTCGGCGGATGGGTGATTATCTGCGCCACCGCTCAGACTTTCTGGCCAGGCCAGAAAGTACTGTTACTCACCAGTCACCAGTCACCAGTCACCAGTCACCGGTCAACGTGGCCCACAGCGATTTCAAATCGAAGTTCGGCTGGCCACAGTCTAGAGTCGAACTTTTGCCACAATTATCATTGGAGGCAAAAAAATCCAAAAAAAAAGTCTGTAAATGCCAGCAAATTTTCGGTCTGAAGATAGGTGATCGGATGATGATGATGACCACCAGTGGATATACCACACATGTATTTTATTTTAGAAACCCTGTAAAGACTTGTTTTTTCTATCTTGTAAGATAAATCAAACAATTAAATATTAGAATAAAACGACTTGTATGCTAAATGAAACACTTACATATTAGAATCAAACTACTAGTAAGCTAAATGAAACAATTACCTATTACAATCATGCTTAGAATTCAAGCAGCTTTTGAAGATAATGTATTTAAATGCATATTCGCCTTCGTATATGGGTGAGTGTACTGGCGGCGCCCACGTCATGGTGATTGGGAATGACGCCTGGTGTCTTTATCGATCCCTCCGGACATGTGTCGCTATAAGGAGGGATTCCTTTGACGTCGCCGCCGACCTATGAACCGCACGTGTCGAGGTCCGATTTTCCGTTCTACGTCACGGGTTTTTAATATTCCTACGCCTTTTCAATGGCGACATCGGAGCAACGTGTCCCATTGCAATATGATGCCTACGTGACTTCTGCTGCTACGTGTGGCGATCAATTGACCAATTTCAGAAATTGTACTTGGTTCTAATTATACGGCTACTGTACGGCTACTTTTGAATGGAAAGGTAACTGCAACTTGACTGAAGTGTGGAAATAATTCGGACCTTCACTACGTTGCATCAAAGCAAATCAGTCCCTAACAGTTCATTAGGGACAGTTCATGCTAACTAAAATCTAACTAAACTCTGACATAGCATTGAGCTAATTTAGAGAAAGTTTGCTGAAATATATCCACATTCTAGAACTACAAAAACACGCAATGCAGCCAACATAAACCAAAGGGGACATCAAGTATCGGCGACTAAAACAAGACACGATACAAGTAATTAAACAATTGCAGTCCAATTGATACACACGCTCATTAATTAAATTAAATTGTGAAGGAGCAACAAACAATGCACGCGAATGCGATGACTGATGTGAGGAGTGCGCACTGCAAGAAAAACTTGTTAGCACGCACATACGGTTTATGCAAATATTATTATTCTCAAATGGTCATGCTCCGTTCCAAAGAGCTTGCAAAATTATAAATTCTATCGGGCTTAAATCTTTTTACAGACCATTGTTTCCCGCAGTGTATGTCTGCGCACCACGAGGAGCTCAATCAATCAGGCCAATTAGTTTTAATGGCCCATTGCCCAGCGGAGTCGGCAAGGCGTCTCAGCAATTAAAGCCAGTTATCCGCCAATGCAATTGCTGCTCCTTCAGCAACTGAATTCCTAGTACGAAAATCTATTAGGCTTTACATTTTGTTGAAAAGCGTGAGGTACCTAATTTAATACCTTTTTTCTGGCTCGACTAGTGGTTATAATACACACAATATTAGTCACCATCTTGGCCATCATTTTAGCGGTTTTCAGCTGTCGTTGACCTTGGTTAGTATGCATCAGCGATCATCTTCAAACGTGCTACTCCCGAAAATTGATCAAACAATCCAACAGCTGTTCGTGTGTGCTAATCGAAATTTAACGGCTTGTCAACAATCCGACTTCTGTTCAGCCTCAAATATGGTGCAGGTTTTTAACCTTTTTAATAAATTCGCAGTCTAAATAACCTTTTCAGAGACTGCTAGCCAGAATTAAATTATCAAGCTGATCTCTGCTCACTATAGCTCGTTAAAAGTTCGTGGCTATTAGAAATGTATTTGTATTTGAATGCTGTTGAAGTAATATCTATATTTAATGAAAAGTAGGTAATATACCTTGATTAATAATTCCGTGCCATTTCTACGATGAAGGCAAACCTATTTAAACATGCTAATAAGTAAGTATAATCCTAAGAACTACAGTAATAAAACTCTTAATGAAGCAATATCTTAGTTATTTGCCAATAAAGGCATACAACCAGCAGAATAGAAATGTTTACAACAGGCATCCTTTAGAAAACACAAACGATGAATGACAGAAATGGGCTGTTACCCATCTGCCTTTGCAGCAAACAATGGAAAACTGTGCCTTTCTTCAATGAGTTTCGGCTGTCGGAGATCACTTTCGAAATATTGGCGCAAGTGGTGTCCTGAATATTCGAAATCGGAGCCCAGGTCCTGGCCAAACCGGAACCTCCCGCTGAAAGGATTGAGTGAAACAAAGGATCAGTTTTCCCGAATCAGCTGGCAGCTGTAATTTCCGCACGTGACTATCATATAGTTGAATGTGAGCAACTTGGAATCCATATGAGTTTCGCTTCCTAACAGCTGCTTTTTCGATGATGAACGCGTTTGAAAACCATAAAAATATATTCAGAACAATTTCCGGTTCGGTTTTGTATTGAAAAATAAATGATTTCGACTTTTATATTGCGACTAACTGCTTCCGAACTGTTTATCAACTGCTTGTGACCGGAAACATGTTTTATTACTTCCAAATTGAATTTTATGGTTTCTACAAAAATGTATGTATTTTATTACTTTATCTTCGTACGATTTGAATAGTTACATCGCTCGGCAATCAAGTTTAATTTAATAAAATTAAATTAATTCACATAAGCATGAGAGAGGGATTATCCTATGTACGCTGTTTACTTTATCAACTACTTTGCTATCCTTAAACTACCAGATGTGTTCATCAATGGGCATCGTTACCATTCCGCCGGTGAGCGCCGGCAGTTTGCTGCCACAGGACGAGACTAACCCGCTCGCCAAAGAGATAGTAAACGAATCCGAGGACCATGATGAGGACGAAGAAGAGGACTCTCAGCAGCCAGGCGATGCCCCCCAGAAAGGGATACACCCAGATGCCGGTCCTGAGCCAGACGATGTGTATCCACACCAGGTAACCCACCATGAAGGCACCCAGGCCAGTGAATCCTCGACTGCGTGCCGGATATCGATGTCGTGTGACACCCAGCTCCACAAGGGCGTAGATCACGACGAAGGTGTGCATGGTGTGGTTCAGCCAGTTGGGATAGACCAAGTCCAGCAGCACAGGATATATCGATTCCCGATCGATGGCAAACAGTGTCCAGAAGGTGACGCCCACAGTGAGGGCCAGAGGAACGGCAAAGGTGGCGAAGATGTAGTCCCGCAGTTTCCTCAGCGATCTCAGCCGCACGAGGTCAAAGGTCAGCGCCAGTGCATAGTAGCCCAGCTGCAACAGGCCGCCCAGAAACGTCATGTACTTGAACTTGCCCCCAATCGGTGGCTCCAGCCGCAGAGTCACCGCCACTTGTGGCAACTGGGCGTACCGCCAGTCGAAGTAGATGGCGTAGCCCAGGTGGACGGTGGCGGTCAGGTGGAAGAAGAGGCGAGCCCTGCTCCACAAATTAAGTCGCTCCATTTCCGGATAGATACTAACGCATTCGGCGATCGATGCAGCTATGCTAATGTGGTGCAAATCGATCCGGCACAAGGAAATGGACCATAAGCGAAACGGTTTCGCTGGAAATGGCAGTAGGATGGTGATGCCAAGTACGCCTTTTTCTGTGCCGAGCTGGGCAGAAAGATCAGAACATGTACCATAGCAATAAATAATAATACATTTTTTGCAGCAAAAACACAAAGGCAGCAGCTAAAACCCACAGATGAACTGGTGCTTGAAAATACAACGTATCAATTTCGTGGCTAGATTAATTATTGACCCACTGCGCAAGGAAAGGAAATGCGATGGGTATTGGCTCGAATGGAAAATGGGGAGTTGGCCGAGGAAACTACGGGGGTGCGACCTTGGACACAGCTGATTCGCTTGGCCAGAGGTCCTCCAATTTCAGGACCAGATGTTGCGATGGGAAGGAAGAGCAAAGGTCCACGAACCGCAGGCAATCAAATGGATGTGTGTTCCGTAAATATTTGTTTGTTTTCCTTTGTCGGCGGTGCAGATCCCAGTGATAATTAGTCAGGCCCATCACCACCATATGTGCGTCCAAAAACCTTTCGTAAATAGTTGAATTACCTTTTGCCAAATTCGATTCGGCCATCTGACGGCGAAAGAGTGGGGCAAACTATTTACTGAGTTTTTACCTCAAAGTTTGCCAGCGACCAGATAAGTATCAGTTATTCCTTACAAATAGAAATATATGAGTTACTAATTTTCTTATTTGTCCGGAGTTGTTTATAGCTTGGATTACTTGATAAACCAGGAAGTTCGAAATTATATCCCATTAGCTCTGCAAAACAAAGGTTTTCAAGGACTTCCAGTCTCGCTCCCTAGTTTTTAATAAATTTAGCACACTTATCGATAAAAACTGGCTCTCAAGTAAGGCGACATCTGTTTGATTAGTAGCTCTTTGCAGTACGAATTTGAGTCTGATAGTTAAATAGTGGTCTGTTACTATTTATAAATTCAATTTAACCGTCTGTCCAGGGTGATAACAAAGGGGACCTAAAAGCGAAAGGAGTCGCAAAAACCTAGTGCCGTGACGTAGGTTTGCTGCTTCGGACGCCTGCGAAATTTATGTACTATATAAGAACGATGTGTGCCCATTTAATTAGGATCCGAACAGCCCAGACTAATTGGAGCAATGTTGTTAATTTTTTAAAGCCGTTGTCGAACACGTTTCGCTACGGTCATTGCGACAGAGTTATTCAAATATAGGCAGCCGTTTCTGGCCGACAATTTCGCACATGTAAAGGGGTGTACCACATTTGACAGTCAAACATATGTATCAATCCCTTTAGGAACGGCGGCCTCAGGCTGTTTAGCACTTGTATAAACTCTGAAGGAGGCGGTGTTGAGTGCAATTACACTACGAAAAATCTCTTGAGCTTCAGCTAAGAGTCCGTTTCGTGGTGGAAGAGCACAAAGTCGTGCCGAAATGAGCCAAACTCGCTTCACTCAAGAGAGGGGTTGCTAAAAGGTTGGGTTTCCCTTCAATTTGCCCCCTTCTTGAGTCGGCATTTTAGTTTAGGCAACGATTGCGTACGTGAACTATACATTGTTATTAAACGATGGTTAATTCAAATACTTGATCTGGGAATTTTCAATTTCCAAATTACATGGCATTTAGCAATATAAGACAGCAGGAATGAAGAATTGGCACAATGTAAAGTAAAGTAAAATAAGTGTAATAGTCATATTTGATAATATGAATAATAAAATCTTTTTGAAACAAGTTACGCATTTTATAGAACATTTATATGCTCATATAGCTTAAAATTACCACTAGTTTGGTAATTACTTCTGTACATTTAATATACATTGCTATATGTATATGCTCTATTTAACTGAGAATTACCATTAGTTGGGATATGGTAATAAACTACTTATATGTATGCCCAGGGCGTATACATGTTCCTAGAAACTTTCATTCCACTTCAAACGGAATACCTAAACAAATTGTTAAGTTTTATATTTTGTGTTGCCTCAAAGTTTAAGATTCGTACATAATTAATGTTGCATCATCTCTTCAGTGTTCACAGCCCCAAAGAATTTGCCGCCTCTATTGAAATTTTGTAAGCCACCCAAAAACTGCCGCATAATATATGTATAACACACCGACATTGAGATTCAAATTCTGGGAGCAAAGTTCACCCAACCCTTTCTTTGGTCGCTAAGAATTTTCCCTAATGACTTAAACGCGGTAACCACTTAAACATTTACAGCGCATACGGTCCTGTTGTTCACTTCTCACCACCAAGGTAAAAACCACGATGGCCCATAACAACCCAACAACCCAACCACCCATTTTCCCCACTCCCCTTCGGCACTTAAAGGTAAAGAGTCGCATTTTTGCGCAAATTTTCCCCGAAACCGCAAGTAGAAAACTCATTAGACGCAAAACGTTTTGGCGGAAAAGTAGGCTGGGAAATTGTACGATGGCATGGCATTCGTTCTGGGAGCAACTTTGCTGATCTACTTGTATTGCCATACACACTCAGGCTTGAGAGGATGTACACATATGCCTAATATTGAGCAGGCTTGATATTTAAACTATCAACTGAAGAAAGATGTGGGAAAAGTCACTTCAACTCGTTTAGTGACTGCAGCTATAGCACACATGTACATTGAGATACATTCGATACAGTCACCTGAAAATACACATTGTATTTGATAATTTTATATACATATCGAGTGCTCCTCGTGTCTTGTTTGATAAGAACCCCACCCACGGTTTTTGTTGTGTGTGTATTCTGCAAATTTGTATCTTTTAAGAGGGCTCACGGTAATATTTGGATTGCGTGAACCTGTGTTTGCCTTTCAGTTGTATGAGGTTGGGTTTTGATCGGGAAGGCAAATGCTTTCCAGACTGTGGGATTTGCCGACTACATAGACACGTGTGTTGCCAAGTAAATCCGCCATAAGCCCTTTTTCCTTGTTTCTTTATTTTTTTAAGCGAAGTTGAGTTATCCCTTTTTTGCATTCGAGCTCGCATACTTAAATTTCGGTCTGAAATATTTGAATTTCCGTTTTTTCCCTCGGCACATGTCGCCTAATTCCGCAGTCAGGACATCACTTTGTAGTAACATTCATGCAAATTATGTGCATACGCAATTGTGGCATATAAATAAATCCTCAATATTCAATGGCCCGACTGGTGAAAAATGTACGCCTTTTATTAGCTTTAAAAGGATTTTACTTTAAAAATCCAGCTGACTAGAAACTAAACTCGGTATACGTTTTATATTTGCCCTATTCATCCGCACAATATATTACTTAAAACATGATGAAAAATAGTAATTATTATATATTTTCTTTTTATTTACTTCAAACATTTAATAAGCATTCGATGGCTCAGGGGAAATCGACAAGCAGCTTAAATTAGTTTAGCACTGAGAATCAGCGCCGTCCAAGGAGCTTTCCAACTGCCCTTCAAGGACCTGGCCAGAAGACGGCTGCAGGATGCAGCTCGCAAAGGTCAGCCCAAGGACAAACAACCAGCAAGATGCACAAAAATCCAGCTTTCCTATTAAAATCGATATTTAGTGCCGCACGCAGTGATGCCAAAAACGAGAAGGAAACGAGGAAAATCCTACAAAGGGACGTGCTCTCAATTGGAGACAGTAGCCTAGCTATTTTCTAGCCAGCTGGTAAACTTTTTTATGAGTAAGCTACACTCGTATAATTTGGCCAAGTTTTCCCGGATTTTCCGCTACTTTTTCCTATGGCAACACTGGGCCGAATCTGGGGAGTGGGGCGCGGTAAGAGTATTTGCATTAAATTATGCGACGAGCTGCGGAAATGTTTGGCATCAAATGAAGAAGGACTGGAGCTGCGGGGGCAGATGGATGGCAAATCCGAGATGGAGGCAGCGTAGTACTGCGCACCGTTAAGTGCGGCGGAAGCAATTTCACTCTTCAGAACAGCGGAGAAAACCAAAAAGGGAAATACAAAAATACAAGTAAAGCAGCCACGGCATCGCAGGAACAAAACAAAAATGTAATAGAAATCCTTCAAACATCTGCGAACCGCTCACTTCACTTCGCTATGTGAGCACCCCACAAAAACACACAGCATTTTGGTCCTTTGGTCCTGTATTTGAATACACATGTATGTAGGTGGGCACGTGTGTGTATGTGTGTGCGTGTGGATGTGGATGTGGATGTGCTCGTGTGTGTGCGAGCATTTGTAATTGTTTCCTTTTTTGCTTTACGAGTTTTTCATGTATCGCACAATGTGTCACCGACCCATCCTCCAACTCGTCCAGCACTTCACTAGCACAAAAATATTATCCTTCAAAATTTAAAAATCAATTTTCCATTTAAGCCAGTTTTAAATTTTGTTTCGCAATTGGATTTCATGTTTGAGCTGCTCTAAGATTCCTTTACATATAAATGTAATGAAGAAAGGTTTTTTTAAGTGTACGCACATACATCTGGCAACTGCCGCCTACTGCACTTTAATCGCTGTCATTAAGGCGGCACGTTGGGCGCCATTTACTTATTCATTCCACCTTACCCCACCGTTTGCCGGCTTTCAGTGTACAGTCCTTAAAAACTGGCAGGTTGCCGGGGCTTATTTTTGGACCTATTCTAGAAAAAACACATATAAATATAAAGAAACAACTTGGAATACCTTTGAACAATAGAGTCAATGAAATGTATAAAATATAGAGAAATACATGACATCTACTCCGACAGAGCACTCTATTCGTATTTAGCGACTTATCTTCTTGAAATACACAGAGCGCAATTTATCTAAAAACACTGCTAGAACAGATGTGACCTTTTGATGGGCTCCGTCAAAATAATTATGTTCATTTGCATGGCCAAGCTGTTCGTCATCTCCGGTGGTCATTACACCCTTTCTGGGTTGCCATCGGCAAGTAATACCCGCTTGATGACCGACCTCCCATCAACCCAGCATCCCAGCATCCCAACATCCCAGCATCCCAGCATCCCACCTTCCGTCCGCTCAGTTCCGGGCGGCATTAAAACAAATCGACATTTTTCGCCAAGAGTAAACTTTATGGGGCCATCGGTGGATATTGTCCTTGCGTCCCATCAGGACACTTGGGTATTCGGGCGGTACTCCAGCACGGGATTCAAGAGTGCTCGCCCAGCGGCGACAGCATTTTTCTTTTCGCTTATTAACATAATGACCAAGGAGATGAAAGGGACATAAGGCCAAATGGCCAACGCAGGCAGTGAACCAAGAGCTAGGAAAAGTTGTCAAATAAACCAGAGCGAAGCGAGTGCTGCTCGGGCAATATTTCTACTCATTATGCTAATAAGTTCACACAAAACCAAGGCTGGAAAATCGAAATGGTTCTGCGGCAGTGGACACAAATCTCAGCAGTCCTGGTACTACATCATTGGTTTAAGGACTTTAAAATCCGATTTTTGCTCCCGCAGAAAGGGCAAATTGAATAGCATAGTATAGAAAATATGGAATTGCCGAAGCTACATAGCTGAGTTTCTCCTATTTCCATCTGGCCACCGAATGGAGCAGCTGATCTTTGGCTCCCGAGCTGTGTTCCACATGTTTTCACTTACAGCCACTATTTCCACATCCCTCTTGGATTTGAAAGCGGCAGCTGGCAACACATTTGCATTTGATTCTTTTCCGGGGTCTGATGTAACTACTGTTTATTGGACACAGGCCCCTGAATGATGCATTTTATTAAACATTGTGACTTAAATTAAGCGGCCATACTTTGGCCATTGGGCTACGTGCAGTGCGCAAAAATCTAGATGCATAGAAATATATTCAATAATGCCACAAAGAATTATATAGAATTTTTATATTTTTCTACAAAAGATGAAATAATTTCAAACAGTAATTGCCATTTTACCAGTTGACTTACATATCTGCAAGCACTTTTAAAATATTATATACAAAATAACAAATCAAGTTTTATAATTGGTTTTAGTTTTAATTTCAAACCTAGGAAATGCAAATGTTGTAATCCGATTATTCGTTGAGTGTACTCATTATAATGGAAAAAACTTTAAAAATGTTTTATTAATGGCCTCCAACTTGATTCCAGCTATTTATTGCATGCTTTCTCCCTATCGAACATTTTCGAAAACAACAAGTGTTTGAAGGGGACCTAATCTCCCCAAAGTATAATTAAAAACTCCCCAAAGACCCAAAATTTTTCGCTCCCTCATTCCATGTGGAACGCACTTGACTGTATCGTTTGTACAAGATCATTGTTCGGGATATGCATTAGCAGCACACCAGCAATCGATTCACACGGATATTGTGAACCATTCAATTACACTGAAAATGTCGCACTATTATTCTTATTTTATAGCCCTCCAAGGAGCCTGAGTAAGGTTTCAAAATATGATTACAACTTCTTCACGTTTCCAATGACGCTGTAGTTGAGAAGTAAAGGGGTCCAAAACTAGCGGCGCAAATAGCAAACAACCAACAGTCGTAGGTGCTTTTCTGCCGGCTGGGATTAACTTGCCATGAATTTCAATTAGGCAAAAGGGTTTCAAATAGGCCAGTGGTTGAAGGTTGGAGGGCTCTGGAAATGGGAACTCATTACGCAGGCAGACAAACAGCTCCGAAGCTCTGAAACTCTGAATGTACCAGGTTTCTTCCCAGCGAACCGAGGAGAATCCGCTTGGCTTTGTGGGACAAAGAGCAGAACGAACAAACAAGTCCAGCGGTACTACTTGAAATAATAAACCATCGCAGATAAAGACGTCGGGGGAAATAGTAGGCACAGCACAAAAACAATATCCAAATATCTTAAGCCCAAGAACAACCAAACAGGGCATCCAGTTTTTCTAGCCAACCTTTTTTAAATCAAAACAAACCAGCGTGGAATGAAGAAACCCAAGCTAAACGTAAACAACGCAGCGGACGAGGCGTTAAAAAAATAAAAAAATGTATATATATATCTATAAAAAACTTAAGGGGAGTGCCTGGGGTGTACGGGCGGAATTGAGTGTGTGTAACTCCAGTAGTGGGCCTCACCACACTAAAAACAAAAAAACAAAAAACGAAAAACAAAAAACAAAAATGAAAACCAACCTCCGACAACCAGTTTGGCCAGTTTTGGCCTCTTCGCCTGCAATTTTCAGCTCTTTGCCTCGTTTTTGGTTCAGCACAATAGCCACAATCCGCAGATCTGCATCTCTTAGCGAAATGTCCCATAAAAGTTTGCTAGTCTTCAAAAGAAGCTGATAGATAAATTAAGTTCGTGGTTTCGAACCAAAAGTATCTACTTCAAGTGCTTGAGGTTTCAGCTTGGCCTTAAAAATTGAACTATTCCAAAGAGTGACAAGAGCTTATGGTTCTGCAAATTTTTACTGTTTTATAAAATCTACTCTTTCAGTGGGAATTATTTTGTATTATTTTATATTCAGTATAGAACTTTAACATCTTAAACTATTCCTGCAAAAAGCCTACGATCTAAGCTAATTTTTATGTACTTACAGTTTAAGATGGATGGAAAATTTTCTATGACCTGTTGGTTAATAACAAGAATTAAGCGTAACGTTTTCTGAGTCCGGAGAGAAGAGAACCTAATTCGTTGGATAATATTATAGAATAGGTCGTGGGATAGCTGTAACATATGGTAATCTTTTGTAGAAGGCAACTAATCATTATACTACGGTTCATTTCTTTATTAAATTTTTAAGGCGGCACAGAAAGTAAACGACTTAATTTATGCCTTAGCCACAATGGAGTACTGTCTAATGCCAATTGAAGTTGGTAATTTTCCATAAAGTTTCACTGGCAAAAACTTCTCCGCTTTGCCAACAATTATAACAGCTGACTCAGCAGCTGACTGACGAACCAGACCGGGCCAAACCCAACCCATCTTCAACCTCAACTTCGGAGCTCCAAACTCGGAGCTGGGCTGTCAAAATCATATGGCCAGCCCCGAACCCATCTGAATGCCCTTTATCCATCCGCAGAGTTGGCCTTTCGACTTTAAGACTTCGATATAGAAACCTGCTTCCTAAGCGATTATTTTAAAGTACTAACTGTAATATTTTGATCTGAAACTAACAAAACCGGAAATAGTAATTTATTTAATACTACTTATTATTTTATTTATTTTGTACGCATCTGACAAGTGATTAAGAAGCTGGTTAGCGTACAATATGATATCATACATTTCTTTTTGGTTTTTTATAAATTGGAATAGCAGAACAGTAAGATATTCGGCATCACTGGGAGGCGGTAAAAGTCGGTTTCTAGAGCCAACTAACTCGTACCCTGCCCAAAAGCTTTCCCCGTGTCACGTCATGTAGAGAGCATAATGGCACCCAAACGGCGATTGAGGGGCATCGAATGAGTGCAGGACCGGCGAGGGTGGAGGGGGGCTTGGAGTAATTACCGGTGAACCCAACCGAACCGCAGCTCCAAGACAAAACTCCACAGCTCCAAGTGATCTCCGCCTGACAGCTGACGCTCGTACCCAGAGCGTTGACTGATTTATGAAGACACTTTTGCAAGTCGCCCAACTTGATTTTCATAAACCGTTACGGCACTGCGACTTTACATGTCTGTTGGACACTTCGAAACACCTCGACTAATTGAATACCCTACCCTACCATTGAAGCTCCGATGGAGAACTATATGTATTATGTATTATATAAAGAGATGTAAAATAAATACAGTAATATTCTTTGTCTTCTTTCTTTATGTGGAATATAACTTAAACAGGCATCATTTTTGAGAACTCGATTATTTAGGTAATACATTCATATTCAACACCAATTCATATAATTTATTATTGATCATATCTTTTATTTATTTTTTTTATTATACTATATACTATATACTTCCCCAAATTATTTCAATTATTATATCACTTTAAGATTTGAGTGTCTTGGATTCCGAAAAGGGCATGCGAAAGTGACTATTGCAATCGGCGGCTGCCTCAATTTTTGCCTATTGTCGGCTTACGAATACTTACTGGTGTGTCCCGTACATTTTGAGCCATGTTTGTTGCCAAGCACCAAAATAGCTGCCTGCTTGGCTGGCTGATTGTCTGGCTGTCCACAGCTTTGTCTTGTCCCTGGCTGTCTTGTCTCTTCTCGACTTGGCTTGGATTGGTCTGGTGGGTCTGGTGGGTCTGGTGGCTCTGATGGGGCTGCTTGGCTTACTTAGGCTCGGTTCAGTTCGGTTTGGTTTGGTTTGGTTTGGTAACCATGATCGCTAGATCTTCCAGCTGCTTTCGAACGAACCATGATGGCCCAGTTGGAGTCTGGGTGCGGGGTTAATCACCGGCGCAATGGTAATGATCGTGTTTGCTGCTCCAAATCAGCTGATTGCCAATGTCCGATAATGATGAGTAAGCGCTTTCAATTCGCTGAGCTCGCTTCCAAATCGCTTTTTACAATCTGTTCTAGAGTCTGCGTATGGTTGGTAGAAGTAGCAATAAACAGACTTAAATCAAAAGGGATTTCAAAGTTTTAAATAGTAGTAGTTTGAATCTGTGTACAGGATGTTTTAAAGGCAAGCAAGTTAAAAAAAACGTAGTAAACCCACTGATCATGCCACAAATTGACCAATTTCGATTTTTCTATCTTAATATGGGGTCTTTGATTAAGCAGTCAAAATTAGACAAAATTTAATACCCTTAGGTGCGTCAAACTAGATTCATGTTGCTGCATACACAAAATACACACAGGCGATAAAATTAACATAGTGTATTTACACGAGACGAACACAATCAGAAACTGCAATGCCGCACTTTGACCTGAGTGGCCGATGGTACCGCCGGCGGTTTCCGTTTCATCGGAGCTTCCATCAGGGTCACCATGCAGGTGACTTTTTGGAGGAGGAGGAGGATCCCAGGCAAAGGGGCGTCCTGCGGAGAACCAGCTGCCAGCGATACCGTGAACGACTGCGCTCCAAACGCCTACAACAGCTCCTCCATGGACTTTCCATCATGGCAACGGTGGCGGTGGTGGTTGTCCTGATCCTCTTCCTCGGCATAAAGTTGTCCACCGAGCAGTTGGACTATACAGCACCACGTGAGGAAGGCCTCTGGTCGGGTTTCCTGCGGCTGCTGGGCTTGGAGCAGGAGGATTATCTGTCAGGAGATTTGTATATGCATAATAAAGTAAGCAAGTAAACTTGTAAAGCCATATAATTAAATCCTACCTTGCACAGAATGATTTCTGCAGTCCCGAGACTCTGGACTTGGGTCGGATCTTTCGGTATATGGGCAGGGTGGTCCTGAATCAGGAGCAGGCACTGTCCCGCATGGAGAGGGCGTTGGGCGGTTCCGGGCGTTTCCGGTCGGTGGCTCTGCTTGGACCTCCGGGCGTGGGAAAATCCCTGGCTGCAGATACCCTGCGCCAGTGTTTTCCCTGGCCGGGAAATGCTCACTCCTACTCCTGGAGCACCGAAGTGCCGGATGGAGCGAGTAAGTTCCGACTGATCAGGCAGTTTGCCGATGGCCTTTCCGAGTGCGGAGTCAATCTGCTGATCATCGACAATCTGACGACCTGTGATTACGGCCTGGTGTCCATCTACAATCGATTGATCCTGGAACGCGAGGGCGAACCAACGGGCAATCAAACGGTCCTGGTCGTCTACGTTTTCAATCTGGAGTCAAATCTGTACTGGGAGCAGTTCGAGTTGCTGCAGGAACTGCCGGCGGAGACCACCGTCGTAAACTTTCGGTTCTTCGATGAGGATGACCTGCTGGATTGTCTGGCCAGTGAGTTGAAAAAGGAGCACCGTGCTCTCAGCAGTAAGAAGGAGTCCTTGCTGCTCCAGGAAGCATTGAAAACTGTCCAAAGCTCAGGATGCAAACTCCTGCGACGGCTGATACTGCAACATGGAGCATAGCATAAAATTTATGTCGTGTATACAGCCAACCACTCACCTTTCGACATTAATACTTTTGTTTATTCGTAGTAGCTTGTTAAAGATTTAATGGCCGTATATTATTGTTTTTTCTGCTAGCCTATAGAATATGAATTTGGCATAAACACCTAGTAAAACACCAAATTAAAGTGATGTTAATCTGTTACTGAGTTGAATGTTTTAATATTAGTTTGCTTGTGCTTCCAATGGTTTTTAATTCAAAGAGGCAATCAATATCAATTTGGAAATGCGTTAAAAACGTGAATCTTTTCTGCAGACCCGCCTGCAAATTTTGAATTATGTGTCTCTCAGAAATGCAATGCAGATAATTATTTTAGCGTGAGACACACGAGATGCATAAATAAAAGTACTGCACCCATTTATCAAAACAAAAACTGGGGGAAAAATGCAAAGCAAACAAGCACCAAATTGCATTGCTGTAAAGCATGTTTTGTGTTTGCTTTTTGTAGAATTTTTAAACAATTTTTTCTGTTTGGCGAGCAAAACTTCTAGGCCGTCGAACGATGTCGTTGCCTTCAAATTGCTAGTTGCAGTGCACTTCTTTACAGAATACAGTAGACTTTACATGAGAATAATTAATATACGACACAAAGGTAGATACAAAAATACATAACAACTTAATGTGCCATTATAGTAGAAGGCAGTGTATCTTAGCTAAAAAAAATAAAACATTTCGTTTCAGCCGATAAATAAAATTATAACTTTGGGCAACTAGTTGGTATCTTCTGAAGAAATACATGTTGGAATACTTATTTTTAGATATTCAGCTTAGGACATTCCCTAGTCGGCTATGCCCCCCAATCAACTTCTGTTGCAATGCAAAACGCACACGTTTTCGGCGCAGTGCGTTTCGCCTTTGCATCCGAAAGATACTTTGATGCGAGTGCTAAAGTGTGAGTGCGGTAGCAAGAGCCAACAACCGCATCGAGGCCATGTTGCACTGCAACAAAAATAAAAAGGAATAGTCAACTTATAAGAAATAATACATTTTTCCAGTTACTTTCGTTTGTTTTAATTTAATTCGCATGCTTATAAGAGATCTTTTCACAACTCGAAACTTGTTCACTTATCTAAAAAGGCGTTTTTAGTCCTATGTATACCTAAATCAAAAGCTTTGCTAATTAAATCACATCTGCAGAGTATCAACGTCTGGCAATATCACACATTTCTCTCAGTGCAGTGCAACGCTAAACGAAACGCAGCCAGCGGCTTTTGTAGTTCATGAACGGCCAGCGAACTCGGCGTTCAGCGTTATAATCAAATAAGATTCGACTGCTCAACAGTTCGTGGCAGTTCGACGGAGGAAAATGGCAGATAAAGGGGTAGGAAAACCGAGGGGAGGGCTGTATCTGATATTTAGTTGTTTTTTCTTTTTGCCGTAGACATTCGACTGGTCACGTAAGCAGCCATTTCATCCGAGCGGTTTTAGTTTTCGCTGCAGTTACATAATCCGCCGATTGATTTAGCTTTTGGCTAGGCGGAAGATGGGAAATATCGGATTCCACTTTGGGGAAAAGCGAAGGACAATGTCAAAAACTGATTTCCCCTTGGGATCTATCCATTTTAGCAACACCCAGTTGAAAAGATAGCATACAAGTTGTGGTTTTAAGGTTGTAGTTTTAGTACAATATAGCTATCTCTTAAATTTCTGCAACTGACCACCAGAGATTCTCCTTCCATTGTGTAAAGTTAAATTATAGTACCTCTCATGGCTTCAATTTTTAATTGGTTGCAAAGGTGAGTTTGCATAAATCGGTCAGTGTGGTCAGGTTGGTGAACCGAGTGCGATTGATCGATTGTTCCATAAAGTGCAACCTAATATGGCAGCCTTGGTCGCAAAAAGCTAGACATGCGAAAGCGCCCAAAGTGCTGCAAATGAATCGCAGCTCAAATAAATTAAAGAAATGCAACAAGCCGACATTGTTAGCCTTCGACAGCGGGCTTCAGTCGGCTTCGATTGCAGCCACGTTGCATGAGGAGACAAAATAAATTAAAGAAAAGCCGACGACGAAGACAGAGTCGTCGACTGAGATTGGGATTGGGTCTGTTGGCGTACAGTCTGCAAAATTATCAGGCACAAATCCAGACAAAACCAAATGATTTTCTAGCGATTTTCTAGATATAGAACCAAGTTAATTCTAGGTTGACTTCTATTTCTTGAGATTAAAATAGGAGTAGTGTACGAATAATTATATCTTAGGAATTTATATATTCTCTGAGTGTGGAATAGATACGCCGGCAAACAGGACTTCGATGGCGACAACGCGAAGCGCCAATCGCCAATTGCTCAGCAAACACAACTGACCAGGCCAGTAGAGACCAGACCGGGCCAAAAAGCAGACAGGTAAGTGGGGTTCGAGTGGAGTCGAGTGCGGATGGGCTCCAATCAGCAGGCGACGGAGAAAAGTTCTCAACTGGGCTGGGAACAAAGTCGGAGAAGGGAAAGCTGCCACTCTCTGCATCCGTATCCATGAGATACTCAGGCCATTTAGCCGCACAAAATGTTTCTAATCTGTGCCGCCGATAAATACATCCCGTGCTGCTGCCTGTTCGCATTCCCATTTGTGCACAGGAAAAATGATATAAAACGTCCTTTTCACCGCGATTATTTGCACCTAAACTGAAATGACCATAAAGCTGTCATAGGAAGCAATGTTAACAGGGGGGTTGCAATGATCAAGTGCTGCAGCTATCTGAAATAACTCGTAATTTTTCACAGTGCAGTCCCATTCCCAGTCCCATTTCAATTGCCATTCCCATTCTCATCACATCGCAGCACCGTCTTCGTCTCCGTTCGTGTTGGCTAGATTAAATTTCAATTAACACTGTAGATAGCCGTACGCGTACACGCACAAATGTGGCAGCCAGCAGGCAGAGTATCAGTTTTTCAATTAGATTTCGCATTAATTAAACGAGCACAGCCAGCCAGAAGATGCTCGTTCAGTTTGCAAAATGATGGTACGTTGGCAGTAAAGCATCTGGAATCTAAATTAGCAGCATGCCTTTTTCTGCGCTTTTCCCGGCCATCGAAAACAATAAAAGTCTCGCCTACTAATTATAACTTGCTTTCATTACGTTTGTTTTTCTCTCGTTGGAAGAAGCATCCATGCAACATCATCCAAAGAGTAGCCATCTGAAAAGCAATTTACACATTTTGGGTTCTGAATTTAAGTAAAATCCCTAACTGTCTGGATTGTGCCTCTAGTTAAACCAAAGCTCGCATGTTGACAACCCTGATGATTACATGTATTTGCTTACGGTCTCAGAGACACGCACATAAAGCATAAATTATATACATAGTATACTTATTTACTGCCAACAGTGATGCGCTGCTGAAAAGGTCAAAACAAGCTTATACACTATTTAAAGAGTTCATTAGGTTTAAGTCTGTGCACAGCTGTGCTACAGATACTTTTAGTCATAAAAGACATTTAATGCATTCGTTTGATATTTATTCCAGTAAGGGCGGCATTTTAGCCGCATCATAATACATAGATCAATATTTGTTGGCCAGGAGCAGCACTGCGAGACGTAAAACATATAATCGCAAAGGTGGGTGTAAACGGACGAACAGTCAGTGGGGAAAAATCATTAAATTAACATGACAAATGACAAAGAGCTGATGCACGCCACCCACCAACTTTTTTTTTCCTTTTTTGTTTATATATATTTTATCGGGCGCAGGGCGGTGGGTGCAGTTCGGTTGAATGGCAGTCAACACAATAATAAATCCGTAAATATAATGGCCAAGGATACTTTGGTAATTGGGCGAGCTTATGCTTAACGGCGCTTTAATTTATGCCGGAGCGTCCGAGTCCGAGTTCGTGTCCGTGTCCGTGTCCGTGTCCGCGACGTTGTCCGTCCGCCAAAAACGCCCAATGGCCACACAAGCGGCGGACCTTCCGCCGGCCATTACCATTAACCACTCGGCAAGTACATGGCCCTAGCTATAAAATGTCGCGGTCGCCGTCAATTGTTTACGATTATGACTGCGTTCTATATAGACCATATATATACATATGTGCACACACATAGTCCTGTGTGCAAGAGGGGCTATGCTACGTGTATGCTCTAAACTTTAACGGGCATGTGTACAAAAATGCCGGCTGGTCACCCACTCAACAGTGTGACAAATATGGATGCAAAACATGGATATGTATATAAAAAAAAATTAGCAAAAAAAATCTGTTTAGATATACAAATATTTGTGAATTTGAAAAGAATTTAGAATGTATTTTACTAAATTGTATCTTCTGTTGTTTTAAATAAATCATAATTTAAATATTACCAAATGATCGGCTTATACTATATAGATACAATATCCGATTTTGAGGGGCTTAGCCCACTGTTAATCCTTAGGGACAACCCGGCGATGCCAATGGCGAAGCGGAAACGGAAGTTGGAACACATTTTGTTGTTTTGGTGCTTGGTGGGCACTCGTCTTTTTATTACAATATTTGGCGGCGTAGTTGCCGTTGCGCTTTTTATGAATGCTTTGCATATCGTAAAATTAAATGAACGAAAAATGTTTACGTATTTTCGGACTCTTTTATTACACTGGTTATTCGGAATTTCGTGGGGCGGCGTTGGTGGCACATTCTATTATCGCATACCGGGTTGTCCCCGCTAATTTGAATATGGTGATAAGCAGGGTAAAAAGCTCGGCGGGCTGAAATCTAGCATCGCCAGAGTTTTACACCTTGGATTCAATTAAAGTCACCATCCCGCAGGAAAATCCATTAACCCGTCCAGCTGTGCTGTCGCCAATCCCAAATCCTCGTGGTCCCACTTCATCCAGGGCATTGTTTACTCTGAGTGGCAGCAATTAACCAAGAGTCGATTGCTTTATTACCTTGGCTCTCAACACATCAAGTATCCTGCTTAGTGATGGGAAAGCGTCGACATTCGTTTAACTTCAAATGTAATGCAAGAATATTATTTATCATTTATGCAAGGATAGATGGTAGGTTCAAAATGTCGAATATGTATATATTATAGTTTAAAAATATATTTATTCACATTCCTGGCTGCTACCCATTCTGCAGCTTAGTAAACAATGTACAAATAATTAAATAATTACCTAAAATAAAGCTAAAATTCATAAAGGCCTCCACTTTTCCCATCACTGATCCTTTTGCCTTTGTAGAAC